GAAACACTGGCGTAAGCATAGTAAACGTGGTTGATACAACCGTAGTTGAGCATTCCTGGAGTATCTCCCTGGTATATCCGGTAGTTGGGGAAGTATACCGCATTTGTGAACATGACATTGGACATGCTCGAAGCAATCCGCGACTTGCGCGACGAGCTCATGATGAGTGATTTGAGAGACAAGGTGAACTTGAAAGAAAATGGACAAGCCAAGTGCCGAAAGTTAGAGGAAAATAAATATGACCGTGAGTGTTGTCTAATAACCCGACCTGCAAGAGTCTAACTGGTGTCAAGATCTTGGAAGAATTAAGAGCTGATGTGTCGGCCAACAACGTTAGGCACCAGAGACTGCCGGTGAGAGTCATGACTGACTGCGACAGAGAAGGATCAAGGCTATATAATACTCAACACCAGTCGCAGCCAGCTAATAGAGGGTCGGCCATCTAGGTGATGCCCGGAGGGCAGGGACTAGCATCCAAATTACGGAGGGTCCTGGATTCGGTAGAACCATGATACATGACATAATTGCGGGGAGGCATTGGAAGAAACACAAGAGCGTTGCTGGCTGTCAGAGCTGAGGAAGCTGTGGCTTCTTGGAAGACCGTGAAATTGCCCTCGTTTGTTGTTAGCCCGACTTTTCGATGCTTTGACCACGCCAATTCGGGCCTTGTTAAGAAGGTGTAATATGTGCCTCATGAAATGACGGATGCTTGGCTTGGCAACCCAACTTCGAATGGAGTTGGAGATCCGGGGCGAGGAATACTCTTTTCCTCTTCGAGCGCGGTCCGTACAAGACCCTGAGCTGTTGGGGCCGTCCAGTAGGTAGATGTTTCCAGCCACGAGATGAGCTGAGCTGAGCTTCCATCTTTGCTAAGGGAAATGGGTATGATGAAGTGAAGCATTGACGTTGCGGCCTCTCCGAGCCATTAAATGGCCCTGCCATGATTTGCGAAGGTGAAACACGTTGACATGCAGGCCCGCAAATGAGACACGTCTCCAATACCTAAAAACAGCATAGCGAGGCGTTGTCATGTTCTCAAGATGAGCCGCGATGCGATCCGAGGTGTCATATGCCTCGGGCAAACAAAAGGCAACGCTGAACAGGGCTCGGCTTCCAATCAATCGCTGCAGGATCAAGGCGAGCTCGTCGCTCTGCTTGGGAGCAGCATTGCCCAAGGGATGAAACTGTCTCAGCCAGGAAGCACGCACGCAGCATTGTTCTTGATGTCGCAACGTCCATTTTGGCGACCGGGACAATCCAGGTACAGCATCTTTGGGCGAGGGTTGTACAAGAAGCGCCGAGTCATAAAGTAACACAACTTCCCGATAAGCGTGTTCAACAACCGTGCGGCTCCATGGATTCGCCCTGCCATCAAACTTCTGGAAGGTCGACGGACGTTTGGAACGCGCTACCACAGATGGTGAGATTGGTTCCATAATTAAAACCACCAGGCCCAGGGGATGACGATGAGATTTGGGCGCAATATTCAGTGGGCCAAACACTCTGACTTCCACTGTTAGCTTGCCCGTCCTTGTCTGATACAGTTGAGCCAGGGCCGGGTGCTTTTACCGTCTCTAGCAGTGACAATTCCGAATAATTTTAGTCTCGCCAATGCATCAATCCCCAGCTTCGAGGCTGAGGCAAGCTCGACAACCTGAATCTGCCATCACATGGATGTATATGCATGGATAGGTGCCGTTGCAAGTCAAATTGAGGCAAGCCATTGACTAAGGTACCTGAAGGCTAGCAAGCACCTGCGCACAACAGTGACAGTCTGGGGATTTGGAGTTGATAGCCTACCAGAGTCCTTCCGGGACGGGGATGAATGTTAGCGCCGCTTCTAGAAGCCGTACTCTAAAATGGAATTCAACGATGGCCCTGTCGACTTCAACGATTTGTACATACAGCCATAGTGGCATAGACAACCCTGGAACTTCAGGTCCCTAGAGGCTGCTGAATTCGATTGACCCGAGAAAGGCACCAGAAGTCATTCCGTCCACATAGCTGGTTGTATGAATGTTCTTTGACTGGACTTGCTCAGGGCATATCTGTATTACCTATGGTTAGCTTCCGCTTCAATTATATGGCATAAGGTCTGTGAGATTGACCTACCAATAAGTCATGGTATTGATTGCTGATCCTAGACGCGGTGTTGAATGTGCATATGAACTCTGTCCCAATATAGTATCGGGCAATACAAGTCTGACTGCTTGGCACTTGAAATAGAGCCAAGAAACGCAAATGTATGGACATATCCTCATTGAGATGCATTGGCGTATCTGTTGTGCCTTCTGACTAAGTGAGCATTGTGCGATACCCGAAAGGTAATCCCTGGTGGTTAGTGTAGAAACATCAATGGCTGACGCGGATACTTGTCAGTGAGAGCGAAAAAGCAAGTGTTGGTTCAATATGTGAGACCAACAAGTGATCGGCAATATGGTGGAGAGCTGGGGGCGGACAAGACTCCTTCGGACATGTGTAAGGCAACCTTGCCCAACAGTAAGCGACGAGAGAGACAGCCCGTACATCCATGTCGAGTCCTACTTGATTAACCAATGCTGGTTTGAGATCTGCCAAACGATAGTGTTGACCATTGTTTGCGTCTTCAACAAAGCATAGATATCATGACCACAATCAACTTCCTTTTCCAACTAACCATCGATGGAATGTAATATGACCAACTGACTTGGATTTTGTTTCAGTTTTAAGTTCATTGAGGGGTCTCTTCGCCTCACTTCGGCACGGCGCCCCATGAGAAGCAAACAAACATAGTTGGCCCCCCCCCTTCTTCGCAATCCGGACCAACAGTCGAATCGCATATTGTCGTTATGCGCCATCCGCATAGCTTATCACCAACAACTCGCACAAGCATGTAGGCTGTAGCGAAACATACCACATGAGGTCCATCTCACCAATGTTAAGAGGTGAAGTCCTGCCAGAAGGAGGGGTCACCATCACGGTAGCAACCGTGCAGATGACCTCCCGCATATATTGATAATACTGAAGCCAGAAATGCCCATCCCTTGGTGTACTTGGCTGGTTTCACAGAGATGATTCAATGTGGCGCAACCTTCGTAGAGCGTCCCGACAGATGATAAACAGGGCCGAGTCCCTATTTTGTATAGCTGTGTTGTCTTCCTTTCAACTTCCTTCTACAAGCTCACTGCCAAGATGCCAGAGACTGATAGTCACTCTTTCTCGATCATTTCCGAGCCGGGTATCGAAACGATATACACCCCAACAGACCAAGACACAGATGAATATGAGCTCGTGTTTGACGATGCTCGTTCTGAATGCTTGCAACAAGACGATGATTCAAGCTGTTGCACTTCATTAGCAGCCAGCATATTCGACTATGAGCACTCTCATGGCCGACGTTATCACGCCTATTTGGCTGGCAGATATCCGCTCCCCAATGACGAGGGCGAGCAGTGTCGCGAGCTAGCTGAGCATTTCCTGATGCAGCAACTTCTGGTATGTCAAGATTATTGGGCAACAGTAACTAGAGTCGAAGCAACAGCTAATCATGTGGTTGATGCAGGATGGTAAACTCTTTCTGTCCGAAGTTGACAAAGACGCGAAGAAGATAATCGATCTCGGGACAGGAAACGGTGAGTGCCAAATGCACTGTTGGTTGTTTTGTACTTACTGTTTGTAGGGGCATGGGTGATGGACGGTGAGCTAGTATGGTAGTATTCTAGCTACTTTTCTAACAATGTCTAGTGGCAGATGAGTACGACAAGACCAGCGTGATAGGAACCGATCTATCACCCATCCAACCTAAATCAATGCCTCCGAATGCCTCCATGTTTGTTGAAGACTGTGAGGACCCCTACTGGGCCAGCGGCAAGGACTTTGATATGGTTCATCTCAGGGGAATGGTCGGATTTCTTCTTGACTTGGACGCAATGGTTGCTAATGCCCACGAGTGAGTTGAATGCCTAATATATGATGCCTAGCTGATAAAGGGAAGACATCTGAAGGAGGGCGGATGGATCGAGTTTCAAGATTTTGACTACACAGTTCGCTGCGATGATGGCACCATGCAGAAGGACGATCCACTGCGAGATTTCTTCGACACATGCGCCCAGGGGATACGGAAATACGGGTGTACCAACTTTGGCAAGAAAGACGTTCGGAAAAGTCTCATAGCCGCTGGCTTCACTCGAGTTCAGGCGGTGAGTGAGAAGGTGCCTATCTCATGCTGGCCACAGGATGAAGGAATGAAGGACTTGGGGAAGTTGATGGAAGCCAACATCATGGATCTGATCGGTTCGATGGCTGTCAAGCCGTTGATAGCCCTGGGAATACCAGAAGAAGAGCGAAAAGAGATGGTCTCTCAGGCTTATAAGAGCCTCAGGGAGGATAAAGGTCATCGATACATGAATTGTCGTATCGTTTATGGCCAGAAGTATGGGGACTAAAGCTCCGTAGCGAGTCTTGGTTTTGATTCGGGATTCCTCTCGAAGTTTGTGGTTGCTGAGGCTGGATGACTTTGATGGACAGCATATGAGGTTCAGGAGGCGCCTGGTTCCTGCTGTGTCTTGCTAAAGCACTTGCAATAGCGATGACAACAGTTTACCACAGAAATCAACGCTTCCTTTCCTTCATGTCCCTATTTGAAGAGATCTACCACAGTTAAAATAATACAATACTGTCTCATGAAACAAATAATCCCTTGAAGATGACGTGTGAGGATAGTGAAGCTCAAGTTCAAGCAATGGAAGCTTGTGTGGAGTGACGTTGGGTTAGCGGCGATTCTGGCCGCTGACAAACCTCGATCGCCGCACTGTAGTCTGTCTGTACCTGCAGCTCTGGAAAATGTTAGCGACCAAAGCTTCGGCCTAATTCTTGACCTTGACATCAACAGAGCAACTATTGCAGCGCGCATTAAACAGCATCCACAACCACCTGACGCGGAATATTGAAAGAAAATTACTAGAAATAAATCAACAGCTCCATCCTCTGTAGGTGATCAGCCTGCGCCATTCTCGCACACCATGCCCGGCGCCGTCGAATCTCCTGCCGCCGCCATCCTCAACCACTCTGCCACGCCCTACAACTTCCGCTTCTCGCCATTTCTTCGACAAACGTACCAGGTCGGCCTGTCTCCCGACCGGCCAATATGCAAAGCCTTCCAGTCGGGCCACTGCCCCAACGGCACACGATGCCCCGAACGTCACGTCTCCGATTCCAAGACGTCGCAGCCGAGTGGTGGTCTCAACTCACTCGTGTGTAAACATTGGCTGCGTGGCCTGTGCAAGAAGGGCGAGCATTGCGAGTTCCTCCACGAGTACAACCTTCGAAAGATGCCAGAGTGTAATTTCTTCATGCGAAACGGGTATTGCTCGAACGGTGACGAATGCCTGTACCTGCACATCGATCCCCAAAGTCGGCTGCCACCCTGCCCTCACTACGATATGGGGTTCTGCCCCCTCGGACCCAACTGTTCAAAGAAGCACGTGCGTAGGAAGCTCTGTGTGTTTTACCTGGCGGGTTTCTGTCCTGATGGACCTGAATGCAAGGAAGGCGCCCACCCGAAGTGGTCAAAGGACCTGGAGAAGCCAACCCTCAAGTCAGAGGAGAAGAAAGACGACGACATGCGGATGGATTCTGCGCAGGATGATATGGACAGGTCACGCGACCAACAGAGAGATAGAGATCGCGATGATGGAGGCAGACACAGAGGAGGTCATGGCAGTCATGGTGGCCGAGGCAAATGGCGAGGAAGAGGCCGTTACCGCGGAAGAGGTCACTAAGTCACAGATCTACTTGTTGTACTTTTACTCAGTTGGCGATGATACCCACGAGATTCTCATGTCAATAATTTCATGTAACTGTGAACCTCAAAGCAATGGTCGAAAGTAAGGCGACTGGATTTGTATTTTTCCAACGGCCGTAGTGTTAAAAATCATTCAAGAGTTGGAGTCGTGACGGCGTCTATATGTAACAAAATCGAACGTTTTACATGTCCCATCGTAATGCGTGTCATGCAGATCCAATTTACATCGGATATCCAGCATAAGTTTCAATCTTCATCGCTCAAGTGGTCTCAGATGCCTGGGGAGTCCACATAGCTCCCTCGTTGTCAGCATGCCAGACGTTAGCGTCTGATGGGACAGCGACAAATTCGCTTGATTCTCCTTCGCCCTTCTCGCTCTCATCATCCTCGTCACTGCTTTCTGAACCTTCATAGGAGCTTGTCTTCCATGTGGAGAGCTCGTCAACTCGGCGGATGCCCATCATCCATGAGACGAGGCCTCGGGGGGCCCATCGCCCGACGAAGCCGTACACGCTGGCACCGAGGCCAACTCGTACGGTATCAGCAGTGATGGAACCATCAATCACATCGAAAACAGAGTTGTGGAGGCGTCGAAGCGAGCTTCCCTTGAGTCCGCGGATGCGACCTCCGGAGATAGCAGAGCTAGTTTGTGCGACAAAGTTTCGAGCATACACGTGTCGGGCGCCCTCAGGCCAGACAAGAGGAGACTCAGGGTTTCCTGCGGTGACAAGGCCTTGGTTGGGACCGCCACGAGTCGGGACGAAACTGGAGAAGTCGAACGTGCCGAGCTGCATGTGGGTCACCGGAATATCGAGGGGCCTAAGTTCGGCGGTGAGGACTTCCGTGAAAGCGGACAGGGCCGAGCAAACGGTAGCCTCAGGCGCATGAAATGGAGGGTTGATTGAGGAAATGATGGAGGGAGTGAAGACAAGAACCTTGGGAGGAATCCATTTTTCTCCGATGGGGTTCAAGCGGGATGTGAGTAGTGGTAGGAAAGCCTGGATTGTAAGGATGGGCTGGAGGAGGTGGGTATTGAAAAGGTCGGCAAAGCTGGATGGTGGGATGGTCGCGATAGGAGAAGTCTGGTAGTGGAGGCTCGGGATCAGAATAACGGATTTCAGAGTGAGCTGGTTGGGCTTCATTCCAGGGCCAGGAGCTTGAGGTGACTGGAGGAAGTGGGCAAAATGTTCGATGGCAGAGCCAGCATTAGGAGGCTAGGGAAATGTCAGTATAGTCACACGAAAGCCCATACGGCAAACTCACGTCAGTGGTATCAATGCTCAGAGGTCGAACATCGGGTCGCTTCATAGCCTGGACCATGGACTCGTCCTCAGCGGCGTTGCAAACGATGAAGACGATGAAACCCCGTCTCTCCATGTCCAAAGACAAAGACCTTGTCAAAGGAAGAGACGGAGATCCGGCGATAACGACGACATCGGTACGGCCGCCATTTCGTGCCCTTCTCGCTCGTCTTGTCTTTCTCATTGAGCGACTTTCATGGTATCCTTTATAAACGACGGTTCCGCAGGCCAAGACAATCATTCCAGTCAAAATTTTGTGCTCGGCAATCCAGTTTTGGAGCCTCTCGAAGCGCCCCAAAGAAACGACTGCCACCACTTCCTTCACCGCAGGCTTAGGCCTGACAGACTCTGGCACCCATTCCGAGGTGGACAGAGTCTCTCTGACAACTACAGCGGCGCGGTCGACATTCTTATCAATGAACTCGGAAGCAACGTCGGCGTATTGGCGAACCTGGCTCGAGAGCTACAGCAGAATAAGTAAAATGTCTTCGGGGATAAGAGCCGCATGTCTTACCGTGTCCAACAGCTGCTGCGGATCGACCGACATGGTGGTGGTTGGTGAAAGAGAAAAGATTGTTACAGGCTCTTCTCATATGACGGTGACCTTCATGCTAGTGGAGAACTAGGTACAAAAGCTTCTGATACCCAACCTCTTTTCCGCGCACGGACCATCCGATCTCCGCGCCGGAGCACGGGGCTTAGTCCTCCGATCGTTACTTACCCGAGGTCGGGTATCTAGACGAAGGTAGATCATACTAGGATTGAAGGTTCTTGTGAGGGAATTGGTGAAATGGAACAGACACTATATTCTTGTTGACTATCGACTTTCCTCTTTCTATTTTGTTGTGTAGCCAAGGAACATCCCTATTAAGGCCCATATTCATGTGTCTAATGTTAGAATACAGGATGCAACAGTATGAATGTTTGCCATGCCAACATTGTCTTTTCATTATCACCAGAGGCTTTAGCAAAATATTTGCGAAAATTATCCCGGGACTTATCACGAGACAGCAAACAAGATGTATCATAAGTATGTACAAAGGCTATATCGCCAGGCCAGTAGTCTACCCTCCCCAGAAGACTTTATGAGAGAGCCCAGGCTCTTCAGGAATCATAATGTTACTTTGATATATAAAGTTTGCTCCTCAGAATTATCAAATAAGGTCAAGCAATGATCCAGTTCCACATATAGGATTGTGAACTCTCAGACCAGCTCAAAACCTTGATCTTACAAGTCCACCCATCTCGTCTGCCTGCATGCATACAGTTGGCCGCCTTGAATGTCGACACTGAATACAAGGTTCATGGGTGAGTTGAATTGCCATAATTTCGTTAGGAGAAACTCTCTATGAGCGTCTATTCACGTCAGGACCAAGGTTGTGTGTCAATGCCACCCTGAACTTTCACAACCGGGATAAGACTAACATCACAGCACATTCCAATTACTTCTTACATCGACAAACAACAGTCACGTCTCCTGTCTTATTATGCCTAGTGGTGGAGAATATCCAATATCAATGAGAGAACTGCAAGTTACTATCTAGTCTATGTAATAGGCTCCGCAGGCTTCGGAGGTGCAACTCCTATCAACCGTTTGTAGTTATCCAATGTAACCACACAAACTTCGAAAGAACAGAAGAGCTAAAATAATAAACATAGGATTTGTTCTTCAACTTAGATTCAAAGACGATATTTCGTTCTCAAGAATACATCAATTCTCGAAAAACGTCTCTTCATCGACCGTCTTTCCTTTGTATTCCGACAGAGTTCCACTTGTTGGTGCTAATTCCCCAGACTGAAGATAATAGCAGTGGAGCTGATGCGGGGATTCTGACCAGTTATCAGCGGGTCCTTCCATCAGGAAGCTCACTAAAGAGTGCTATCTATTGTTCTGTCTCGTGACCATATTTCGTCCTTGTAACACTGCTATACCACTGAGCTCGTCTCTATTGACATAAAACTCTCCTTGTATTCTTTGATTAATTTGGCTAAAAACTTTACCGCAACTGATCGTTCAGTCCCTCGAACAGACTGTGACCATAATGGTGCTCTTAGACTACCTGCGACATCGTCGAGCTTGGTAAGGCCCCTTCAAGATTGCCAATCTCTCCATATAACACAAGAGTGCTTACTCGAATAACATGTCTTGCTAATACTATTGAAGCCAGTTCAAGCAAGAAGAACGAACATCTCGCATCAAGAGACTGGCATCATATCATGCTCCTTTCACTGTCCTGGACCGAGAGATTGTGAATAAGCCAATTGAAGAATTAGTCCAAGCTGTCCAAAAAGATCCAAGTAAGGCTTCAGATATTCTTCATACATATGGCAAGATTGCCCTCAGGGCACACGAAAGAACGAACTGTGTAACAGAAGTCATGCTTTCTTCGGCTGAGCAATGGCTCATAGATGGCTCCCTCAACCTCAAAGGGCCTCTAGCTGGTATACCTGTCAGCCTGAAAGACACGGTTGAAGTGGAAGGATACGACAGCACTGTAGGTATGAGCACACATGCGGGGAAGCCCCTTGCACATGATGGAAATACTGTCAGAATACTCAAAGACGCTGGGGCTGTTCCGTATGTCAAGACCAATGTCCCCATCACACTCCTGAGTTTCGAGTCATCTAATGACATATGGGGCGAGACATCGAATCCATACAACAAAAGCTACACCGCTGGTGGCTCAACAGGAGGTGAAGGTGCCTTGCTGGCATTGGGAGGCCGAATTGGAATTGGAAGTGATGTTGCTGGAAGTGTCCGCTGCCCAGCTCACTTCTCTGGCTGCTATGCACTCAAATGCTCAACAGGAAGATGGCTCAAGACAGGGGTGGTAACAAGCATGCCAGGGCAGGATGGTGTTCCTGCAGTGTATAGTCCCATGGGGCGTACGCTCAACGATCTGACCCATTTCACTCGAGCAATCATCCAGATGAAACCTTGGACTTATGACTATTCCTGTCATCCATTACCTTGGAGAACCGACATTGAGAGAGAGTTCTCCGACAAGAAGAACTTGCGAGTCGGAATCCTTCGAACAGACGGCGTCGTGGATCCCAGTCCCGCTTGCCGAAGAGCATTAGAAATGACCGAATCTGCTCTACGACACGCAGGCCACGAGATCGTGGAGATTGATCCCCCTTCTCCTTATGAAGCTCTATGTCTAGCCTCAATCCTTCTCTGCAGCGACGGCCTCCAGACTGTCAAATCCTTCTTTCGTTGGGGAGAGTGGAACGATCGAGGTGCTGCCCAAATGAGCTTCTATTTCAGCCTTCCTCGACCAGTGAAGTACTTGCACTACCTTTGGGTCAAGTATGTTCGAGGAGACGCAATATGGGCTGGACTCTTGCGGAACTGGCATCCTCAATCCGGATACGAGATCTGGCAACTCAATGCCAAGCGTGAGCTTTACAAGAGGAAGTGGTTTGACTGGTGGGAACACTCCGGTATTGACTGCTTAATCACCCCTCCTAATGCTACTCCAGCTGTCCCTCATAGGGGCATGCATGATGCATGTAGCAGCTGTGGCTACACCTTCTTGTTCAACCTGGTACGTTCATCAATAAGGGGAGCTAACATAACAAAGCTGACCTGGGACAGCTCGACTATACCGGTGGCGTCTTGCCCGTGACACATGTCGACAAGATGCGGGATCAATTGCCAGGAGACTTTAGCCTCAATAGTCTCAACGGCATTGCGCAGGGCGCATACAAACTGTATGATGCGAACGCCATGCATGGATTACCCGTAGGTGTTCAAGTAGTTGGCCGCCGGTTAGAAGAGGAGAAGGTACTGGCAATTATGAAGAGAATTGAGGAGGCCATGGGTGACAATGCTTTTCCTTTGCTAGATATAGATTAGAACCAAACCCGTCAGACACGCCCTTTTGCTATACTCTTTGCTATTCAGACATTTGTTCATGTAGATGACACATCCAAATCAGCTCAAATGCTATGGTATCAGAAAACATCAACAGGCTTGAAATATCCCCTCCCCTTAGGTTTTCCCCTCTTCTTTTCACAAGCACGCGCGTCTTTCTCACCTCCGTCGTCCTGTCACAACAAAGTCAATTTTGCCAAACTCATCCACTACTGGCTCTTCACCAGCAAAACAAGTGTACTGTTGGTTGGCCCCATGCTCAGTATCAAAACCTTTGTTGCCCCATGCCTTCTCCATCTTTTGGCGGAATTGAGTCTTGGGCTTGCCAGCCTGAATACGCTTCTTTTCGAAGAAAACATAAGCTGCATAGAATGTGATGTTGGTATTGCCATCGCGGACTCCCTTTCGGCCCATGAAGTACCGCATGTTGGCCGGAGATACGCTTTTCCCATCAGGCAGGTTCTTATTGAGAGCGCGGATGAAAGCTGCTTGAGTCATTCCCTCCTTGGCTAAGATAGGCCGAATCTTCTTGCGGATCTCGCCGCAGGTGTCGTAAACGGGAACTGTTCCGTCTGCCTCACCAGGAAGGGGGTCAACGTTGCTCACATCAAGAACTTCTTCGAGGGCCTTGGCGGAAGCGGCTGTCTTTGCTTTCTTGGGTTTGTTGGTCTTGAGGGGGAGCCCCTGAAGCTCGCGCTTTTTGAAGAAGAGGTGGGCTTTGATGTATGTATCGGTGTTCTCGCCATCCCATGTGCCAGTTCGGTTCATAAAGCTATTGTAGGATTTGCCACTAACTCCAATGGTTTTCTGAAACTCGCCAACTTTTTGAGCGCCTGAATCGATCCAGTTACGAATCTTACGACGAATAGCATTGCAAGTGTCTGAGTCATGAAGAGCTAGGCGTTCATCTTCGCTGTCTATATCCGGCACATTGTCTGGGAAAAGATTCTCTTGGGCGTTGTCGGGACCAACATCAGACTTGCGCTTCCTAGAGCTTGTGGTTGTCGCAGCTGGAGCTGGAGCTGGAGCCGGGATTGGCGGTGCTCTAGAAGGGTTTCCTCTTGCCATGGATGAGATATTCACAAGTGAAGGTGGACCGCCTGGTGCTTGAGCCCCGGATGAGTGCGGAACAAATGGTGGTGGTGGGTTGTAGTAGGCAGGAGAAGTTGAGTTATTGGGGATGGGACCAGGAACAGGAACAGGAACAGGAACAGGAGGAGGCACAGGGTTGTTAGAAGCAGGTAGAGCACTAGGCTTGCTATAGACAGGCTGATGGTTATAGACGGGCAGGGCTGGGTTTGGAACAGGTGGATGAGGTAGGTTGAGAGCTGGCATGCTTGGTAGGCTCTGTGGCGGAATAGTAGGACGCGGTTGGTGACTCATCTCTGGCTGGCTCATTTGTAGCATGGCCTGTCTAGGCGACCAAGACCAACCCGACATCTCTTCTGAGAGAAAATAAGTTGAGAACCTCCGAGGAAATTGCTGGAAGCTTTAAGATGCCAGCCAAGGCAAGGTAGAGAAGGTAAAAGCAACGACTGCCGAACTATGACGTTTGTGTAGGCCCGCGCACTTTTACGCGTCAAGCTTGGGCTTCCAGCTGAAAGGTAATAAGGTAATAAGCGGCCCGTGAATTTGGGGTGGGGGTACTACTACGTTAGGTACCTGCGTATTCAGGAACCGGCACTGTTTTTTAGCGTCTCCCACTGTCCTGGCTACCTAGGTAGGTAAGGTAGGTAGCCTGGTCGTGCCGATGCTCGTTATTCCCGGTGATCTCACTGAAATCCCATCCAGGCACAGCAGGGAGACGTTAATTAAATTAGTGTGGTGTTTAAATAACCTACTCTAAAGATGACCTAAGTTCTTCATAAAAATCCTAAATTATCCTAAAATTGTCTAGGTGTCCTCACTCCTTAGGATACAGCTTGCCTTAATTTGACGGGAGAATTCAAAGAACTCTGTTACGGGCCTGTCAGGGGAGCAGAAGCGTAAAAACTGATTGACTAGGTATCTTCCCTACCTTTAGGTATCGAACCAATGCCGATTCAAATGGCCATGCCTACCATGGAGCATAAAGTCGACAAATGCAGAGATCTAGCTTCACTGTGTTAGTTGACAACTGATGGATTCTCGCACTAGAAACAGGGTAAATGTGGAAATTATAGCTTATACGGAGTATAGTGGAGGATCCTAAACGAGGTCGACAGACCATAAAAGCTTATGTAACTTATTCAACGTCCCTTCCGTGGCTCAAAGAAAACCCAAGTATAAATACTACACTCACTCATACAGTTCGGTCATCAATGCCTTGGTTGATTTAGTTAGTACGACGGAGTGACCTAAGGCGTATGTATTAGTGAACGGGCAGAAGATCGTGTTGGAGGACTGCTAAGTGCAACTACAGGGGAAAAGGGGTACTCTAAATCAAGCAGCACTAACTGCACGAGGCATTTTACTCGAATGTTATTATCAAGGGGGGTCTGGTGTGAGGGCGGGACCCCAAGGGTGTCTAAGACCGAGTCAATACCTATGACGATACAGAAGTTAAACGTATACGGATCGAGGTTCTCGTGGCCGCAAGGCCTACCAGTAAACGTTACCATCTGCTCCAAGTACTCCGTATTGTCTACCTAGGTTCTGCGACTGCAACAAAGCCCGGTATACGGACTTGCCGAAGACCACCACGATATCAGAGAGGTACCTAGCCGCCACAATCTATGCTCAACAGCGGGAAGGGGAATACTGCAACGCAGACTTTCAACCAGCAAGAGGGGCAGGATCAACAAAAACCCTCAGTTCATGATATCCTTCGTGGCCACGTCGATCTCCTCCCCTCCAAGGCCCTCATTGCCCGCAGCCCTGCCATTGTCATATATGTAAGCAAAAAACATCCGTTGATGACCATGGACAGCAATTGCAGTATTACAAGGCAATTTCTTTACATCCTGTGAGGGCGAGTTGGATGCGAGCCAGTCCCCAGGCACTTTGGGAAGTTGGCTCGCCCTTTCCAAAGTGATGGCAAGCTTGAGTAATGCCAGATACTGAATATCAGGTAGGTAGTTAGGTGGTCACAGGTAGGCTGGGTAGGTACTTGGCAAGGGGTTGTCACAGGCACTCAATTATCAGGTCAACTGTACCTTAGGTAACCTAAAATTCTCTTTTTCTGTAGTAGTCTCTTACCTCCTGGACTATTTACTATCGTCACCATGGTCCTCGGACATGACCATAAACTGTCCAGTCTACTCGAAAAGACTCTAGGCGGCCTAACTTATTATTTCATTGTTGTTCACAACCAAATCAAATCTTGGCTTGTCGGCCTTACAGATTGAATAGGCTCACCGAGACTACAAAACTTATACCAAACTACAGCGAGAAAGGCATGCTCGACAGCGGAGAGCGTATTGTGACTTGGACCATCTCATCTACCCCAGGGGGGCTTCCGCGGCCTTGAAGAGCGACGTATCGACTTACCTGCTAGCTATTCATTCGTTAGTATTATCTTGTGAGTCAAATGTGCCCCGTTGGCATCGATGGAGAAAGCCTCAGAGACTAACTACCTACTTGCCTTAGATATTCACACATATCCATCCATCAAGTAATCAACAATTGACTGGAGTCTCTTCTAGCCACTACCCTTATTGTCTCTTGAAATACCTATTATCCATCGTACTTAGTACCTAGCAGGTAGACAATACCTATCTACCAGTGCCTGCTGGCACTTGCTGGCACTGGCGATGCTTGCTTCACTGAATCACGCCCCCACTTAACTAGGTACCCTTCTTTCTCTCCTTCACTTCCTCACTTATCTCTCCCCCCATCGTCGAAATTTTATTTTCCCTCATCATTTTTATTTCTTCACACTTCGTCGTTCGACAAAATCTTCAGTGAGTGAGCTCATAACCCTCTTCCGGCTATGGCCTTTGGCCGAGGCTCGCCTACTAGGCCATCGCCATCTACTTGAGCAATATGTAAGTTCGTTCCTCTTCCTACGACTTCCCTGGCTCATCCAAACAAATCAGCCCTTCTGGAGTTGCATGGGATTTCGGCAACAGCGAGCCCAAATTCGTCACTGGATGGGAAATACGCAGTGGTAATCCGTCCACTCAAGTGAATGTGTCCTCAGCGCTATGTTACGGAGAGTCGTCATTTGCATCCTGCCACCTGCTACTTGGCCATCTTACGCCCGAGTTGGAATCACCAACGCTTTGGCACACGCTGGTCTCTTGGCCCATTTCAATCGTGACAGATTCGGCTTGAGACTTTTAACAGACATTTCAATGGCGGCTTTTGCTGTCTTTCACGACCATGCAGTATGCCGTCACCTAGAGGCACCGATGTTAAGGTACGCATCTTCTATTGACTACATGAGCAAGCACTAATTCTATGATAGACACGCGCAATTATAAAGAGCATGTTTTGACTTACCAACCCATCAACCAACCCAAAGGGGGGGGCTTCCGCGGCCTAGAAGAGCGTCCATTGACTTACCAAACTTATCTACCGCAAGGGGGCATGCGCGGCCTTAAAGAGCGTCTATTGACTTACCAACTCACCAATCAACCCGAAAGGGGGGCTTCTGCGGCCTTGAAGAGCTTGTTTTCACTAAACTACAACTCAAACATCTTCCTCGTCCATCATACCAGGTACCTCGAATAAGCAAAGACCTGCGCCTTAGACTATTTGACACATTCGGCATATGGTGTCCGTACCTACCTTTCAAATCCTGGACTATGCCAGGTTCCCTCCCTTACCTTTATGCCTTTCAACAACAACCTACCTATGCACTTGACCCAAAAGTTTCGTGTCATGGCTTCCTTCAGGTGCACATATATTATTCTCTCCGCCAAGCGGCTCTTCCTTCCTTCCAAGGAGATGATCCTGCCTCAAGCTTTGATTTCTCATGGCTTCCATCAATTTTCTCTCCTCTTTTTTCTCCCCATCAAATATCTTCTCTTTTCACCATCCATCTCGCACCCTTCTCTATCATCCTCACCTCACACACATACTCACCCCTCCACCTTGATCGTCCCTGGCACCACTCGTTTGGGCCATGATGCAGGTCTTCACAAGCAACGGTCATTCCAATGGTGATCATGTTACGCCAGAATCCCCTAGCTCTGTATCCCAGAAGCGAAAAATTACTTCTGAAGACCCAGCTCGATATGAGAGCGACATTGCTAAAATGGTTCCTCTTACTGGCGCTTCAGGATCCGATAATTCGAAAGACTTTTCGTGTGAAATGTTCAGCATTTTCGCAAACAAAGTTTGAAACAAGAGTGAGCTCTATCGTCACAAGTTTGTATTTCGCTAACCCGTTCAGCCTGAAAGACACACCAACGTGCCATGACCTGGCGCTTTTCATTCGATACATATCTGGAAAAGTGAAAGGACAAAGCGATGATGGTGCCACTCAGCATGAATATGTGCCCGTCGGTCTGTCACTCTTCCGGAAGAATCTCAGATTCCGGTACAAAGATTTGATCATTAATCAACATGAAGCGATCAGGATCGGTGAGTCAATCAACATATATATTCTACTCTACTTGATTTCACTGACCATTTACTACCAGAATTCAGTTTCGTTGACCTCTTGGAGAAAGAATACTCACTCGATATCCTCGCAACCGCAACTACAGGGTTACTAGTGAAATCGTTGGCTTCATGATCAAAGCCATGCTTCAAGACGGTATGAGGAAAGGAACCTTATCATGGGACGTGCTCACCATGAAGGCATTGTCACTTCTGTTACAGTCAATGACTGGAGCCAGGGCTGGTCCCTACTTGATTCAACCACAGAAAAGTACGCCTGTATCGTGATGGATGACATGTTCAGAAAAGGGTCTACAATGCAGTCCAGCTCCCTACTTCCGACATACTTCACATAACTGCCAAAATCTAACATCCTCGAAAGAAGACCCCGGAGGCAGTCACCTGCGAGTGCATCGACCATGGCCTGGATCCGACTCAGAGGGGTGATCGTATGTTGACTTCTCAAAGGTCAAGAGATGATTAGCGGAAGAACGGGCGAAACTTGATGACAAGTCTACCAATGACACGGTGTTGCTGGCGGACTCTGAGGATATTGTTCATGCTCAGCACGGCGCTTTAGTCGACCACTTCTCTCCTGGCCTATAGCTTCAGCCGGGAGCACCAGAAATCAGAGACTCCAAAAACATAATACCTCCCGAGGAGACCCGTCGAAATCCTTGCGAAGTACATACTCACCTTTGAAGCCGATACGTGGTACTCGGATTTCCTCCGTTCGAGGCATTCAAGATTCGGTGTCCCAAATAGACCAAACCGCTGTGCATCTGACATGCTTTGTTATCTGCAGTGTTCACTTGATAGCTGCATTTCAGCGCGGGGGTCGCGTCATGAACAACCACTCGGATTGCTTTGTGGAAGCTTGCGAACCATTATGCTGTCGCCTCACCTGCTGCAGCACATTGATAGGCGCTGAAGAAACCCAAAACGGCATCGTCTTGTTTACAACTGACGCCAACTTGAGGCTTTCGATTCGTTGAATTGGTTTGATGTGTTGACAAGTAAGTCATACATGTAACATGACACACATACTCGACTTACCTGCATGAGAGTTGAGGTACTCAATAGCCCACTGGTGCCCGCGAGATCACTCCTCCTGGCCATTCACGAAGCTTCTGAATGGTTGTCATCCAATATGATTCCAGCTCCAGATGAGTCCTATCAGTGTGCGATCTCACTCGGAGAAGCCACGCCCGGCTTTGCGGAGTTCGCAATTGCGGGAGATTGAATGTGAAAGGACTATCGTGAGGCTCTCACCAACTATTTAAACGTCACAATCCCCGTCTCTGTGCCCGCCAGACTTTTGTTCCATGGAGATTGTTTTGAGACATTTTATCTTCAAAATCAAGCAGAATTCCATTCGAAGCCTTCCTAGACACTGTTTATTTGCAACAACAAAGTCACGCATCAACTGAGCTAGAACTGAATATGCAAATGAATCAATCAGCCGACTTTTGATAATGCCCTCTGTGGTGGACAAAGCAAGTCAATTCTCCTTGCAACACAAACGCTACGCCTTCGCAAACCGATACCTTGCAGGAAAGAGACGGTTCACAAAACTCTGCCATCAATTCAACTTCTCCTCCTTGATTCAACACCGTCGTCTGGTTTACCAGCGATCGGATATGCCTCAGCAAGATTCGGAAGAACAAGTCTTTGTAACTAGAAACAAGAGGTCTTCCGCATCACCCGAACACACTCAGAGTCACCACTCTCAACAAGTACCACACACTCTCACTTCAAATTGTTGGGCATGTACTGATTGTGTCTCCAGAATCCTTCAAGTGGTGGATCAACTAAGCCCCGGGCCAGCAACGACCAGGAGAGCGGTCAGGGCCGTCGAGGTTCGCCTGGCGCTCAGTAAGTCATTGTTATATCAAAGTCCATCTTCATGATGAGGCCACTGACACGACAAAAGGCGCGGTCAAGACAATTCACCCGCTGCAAGAGTCCGTCGCGAGGCCATAGAAAAGTGTGAAAAGCTTCTCAACGTGCCCTTTCCTCACAGTGCTGAAGTGCAAGCCGCCGATCACAGTCAATCCGACGTCGAGCCCACGAACCCGTCGGCGGCCTACCTGGACTACTGCATCAATAAAGAACTGAGACGGCGTAAACAGAATATCGTTGATAATTTGATGGCTGCAATCTCGGAATGTGTTGAAAGAAGACTGGAAGCACTCGAGGAAGAGTGTGAGCATACTTCCGGATCACATAGTTCGCGTCCTTTTCAGTCAGGAAAACACATACCCCAGTCAGCTGGCCAAAAGAGATCCAAAGGTCAGAGTGGCAGAGACGAAAGTGAGAATGAGGACGAAGGAGACGACAAGTTCCGTAGAAAGAAGGATAACAAGAGGACAAAAACCACAAAGGACGACTCTCGTCCTCGGTTTGCTTGTCCTTACCATCAAAGAGACCCTAAGAGATTCGGAACTGAGAGAACATGCTGTGGCCCAGGGTGGCTTGAAATCGGCCGAGTAAAGTGAGTCAACTTACCCCTTAACTAGGCAACTGACTGACAGTGGTATCTAGGGAACATCTCGAGCGAAGACATAGTCTCTCTCCGCATCAATGCAATCGATGCCTTCGCCGGTTTGACGATGAGAAAGATCTAAAGAAGCATCAACGGATGACGACGCCGTGCCCAGTGAAAGAGACAAGCAGCCTGAAGCGAAATCTTTTGGATGGCTACGACGAGGACCAAGCAAAAAAACTGAAAACAAGAGTGAGGATGAACCCCGTTGAGAAGTGGAGGGAGTGGTATTGTGCTCTATTTGATGTCAAGCCTGATTCTCCTGACATTCCTTCACCTTGTAAGTTACAAGATCTGTTCCCTAAACACCTTAAAATATACAAAGACTGAGTCATCCCAAGATTATGATCCTTCACTCTCAACCAATCGGGCGTCAGCCGTCAAGGTCGAAAACCCTGAGGAATGGCGTGACTACTGGATCAAGGCAAAGCCAGCAATTGAACACCAAGTCGCCATGGTAGTAGAAGATGCATTCAACGACTGGGAACCCCAAATGAAGGTGACTGTCATGGAACGTCTGCAAGAGCTGCCACGCATAATTGCAGATAAGCTTCCTTTCCCAGGACTCAGCCCAGAGGAGACGTCCACAGCAGCTGACGATTTTGGGTTTTACTCCTGCTTGGACTGTTATTCATTTGCCCCAGAAGACTTGGGAGAGGAACCTTTCGACTTTCAAGCCATAGACGACGGGGCTATGCTGAATAACTCGGTGACGTTTGATATGAATGAGTCCACGGACTCCTCAGACGCATACCAAGCCAGTGACAGCTCAGCCACATCTCTGGGAGACGATGCAGCATACCAACAATTCGACTACAAAGCAGCAATGATGCCGAATAGCATTGATCTTAGTCTTCCAAATGATGGCGGGCATTACTAACATCTGAGCTTGTATCATGAGCTATCTCCGTCAGTTCGGACCTTCTTTCATGTTTTTCACATCCTGTTTATGTCCTTTCTATGTTCCCTTATGACAATGAACCAATGAATCAATCTCCTCTTACGTCTCCTTTGTCTACATTATATGATATTGATGGATTCTTTCGCAAGAAGCCCAACCTCGCGAGATTTCACATTCGCTTTGGCAGTCATAACCATCTCAGTGGAAAACGGGCATGAAACCTGTCTCATATGTGGGAGTGTAAATTTATTATTTTTGCAATGCTATACGTACTACAGAGCTAGTTGTGCTGAAATATCTTCCTTTGTGCAACACAATATACCTCATCTGTAGGTGAAACATCCCTTAGTATCGTCAAAAGGCAAAGCAATCAGGCACTGTATATGCATGCAACTGACTTCAATAAGACTAGAATTCGTGAGACAGCATGTTCAGGCTTAGCAGGTAAGATAAGAGAGACATCCGTCCATCATTTCTAGGCAACCGTCTCCCCGGTAGGCCTCCCGCATGAAGGCGGGGAAGGCCTTCGCCATTGATTAGACGGTTAAAAGAAACATCATCCTGTAAATCCTTCTTTTCAATTCCACACTCATTTACATCTTCCGCCTTGAATTTAGCTGCTTGAGTACGAGAAACAACAACAATAACATGATCCATCCCACAGTTCTCTACTTGATGGTAAGGCAATCATTGGGCACACCGGGGCTTTAATCATCTATGACTTACCAAGCCCCTTAGCTCAGCCTTGTGCTGCTCATAATAGCAATGTGAGCTTCAGTTAAGTACCGTTAGTAGGTGAGGTCTGACTCTTGTATAGCATCGTGCACGTCCGCAGTTCGAACCTCTCACTCGCTATCTCGCCAACCCTGTCAATTCTTACAGTGATTCTCCCGATTCTGGGGTTTCTTAACACAGCTCTCTATCCTAGTATTCGCCGTACTACCAAGTCGTCTTCCAGCGGCATAACCAAGCTAGCTCCTTTGATTGTCCAGGTTCTTCAAGCCCTTATCACCACCATCCTGGCAACATTACTTCTAGAGCGCGTAGTGCCATCAGAAATGATGGGATGCATGCTCGATAAGAAGTGGATGGATATGTTTCGTGCTCATGATGCACGCAGCATACGACGTATTCAGGATGCGTTTGACTGCTGCGGGCTGAACTCAATCCGAGACCGAGCTTATCCTTTCCCAAATACAGCACCCAGCAGCTGTGCCGAAACATATGGAAGAACAAGTCCCTGCCGTGAACCTTGGTCAGGAGCCTTGCAGACACTATCATTGTTGGACTTCTCTGTCGTCCTCGGTGTCGGGCTGATCCAGGTATGTCGAAACCGAACTTCTAGGTTCCTAAGGTTCATATACTGATGTAGAGTCAAGATACTAGGGCTCCTCCTAGCCAAAAAAGATTCCAGCTGGTTGGGTAACTGGCGAAACCATGGCCATGGACAATCAGAACAACAGCACGATGGCCGCCGCCCTTTACTGATCGACAGGGAGAGGGATGTCATCGAGGAGGAAGAGGCTACCCCTGAGCGCCCAGAGAGGCCATCACCGGGTTACGGGAGTGTACAAGAGAATGAATCGGGTCCTAGAGTCGTGCCATCGGCCGTGGTCGAACGGAACAACTGGAGCGAGGATTAAGTTGACGGCATGAAAGCACAACCGAATTCGAGGGACCAAAACATGAAGCTTCAAAGAAGTAAATGGGTTAAATGGGTAGACGCCGATTCTGGCGTGTTGCCAACTATGATTGAGGATTTGTAGCGACGTAATATATATTCTTTGACCGCCTGCCTGTATGCTCACAATCCGTCATTGAGTTAGGCAGTCAGAAATAGATCACCAGCCAGAGCGAATTGGCACAGGATCATCATGGGAAATAAATCTGAGTGGGTATTGAAAATTAGATATCTCAGGCATGTCCATATTCTGACATGTAAGCCGTAAGGCAACCCATAGTGCTGGTATCTAGCGGTGTCTATAGTATATGATCGGTTACCTTCCTGCTTCCTTACCCAGCTTCTCCAAAGCAGCCTCATACCCTTCCACTCTCTGTTCATCGATTTCTTCAATCCTTGTTCGCTCAACCTTTTGAGCTCTCTTGACTCCAGCGCCCTTGGCAATCTTGCCCCAGAACCAACCACTCTCATCATCGCCAACGAGTGTCCATGCACACCCTGACCTTCCAGCTCGAGCTGTTCGACCAACTCGGTGAACATAGCCGGCTACACTAGGCGGTAGGTCGTAGTTGATTACGTGGTCAAGGCTGGGAAGGTCGATACCACGAGCAACAAGGTCGGAGGCTATGAGGAGGCGAATGGGAGACGAGGCAGTAGAGAAGGCCCGGAGAGTCTTGCGACGGATGTGTGTTGGTGTGGTTGACGTGAGTGTGCCAATGTGGTCTGCCAAGGAGGGATCCAAGAGGGCGAGTAGTCGTGACAACCGAAGTGCAGATTCGTTGGACTTTGTGAAGATAAGAGAAATAGGGATGTGAGACTTGAGTGTGCGTCTTGAGACCTTGAGCTTGGTACTGGTCTCTGTGTCAGAATCCGAGTCAGAAGATGTGTCCGAGCTTGTGTCAGAAGTAGCATCAGAGTCAGAGTCGGAGCCAGAACTGGAGCTTGAGTCAGAACTAGTAGCCGAGTCTTCAGCTTCTTCCGCCTTGGGCTCCTCTTCGTCTTTGTTAGGGCTTGCCATAAGCATGTCCTGACTGCGGAGTAGATCAAGCAAGTAGAGGGGCTTGAGATTGGTGTCGTGCACTCTAATCGCATGCTCTTTCAACGACACGGGCAGGGAATGCTCAGCAATCTGGATGTCGCCATCGCTCTCCAGGACAATCAATCGTGGTCTTTGCAGACCTAATTGGTTGAGAAGACTCAGATCTCTTGTGAGCGTGGCACTCAGAATGACCTTACGAACACCAGAAAAGTCCATATCATGGAAGTCTCGTGCGGTAAACTTATGGATGCGGAACTTTTCCATAACGAGGTCAAGCCAGCCTTGGAAGCTCTGAGCAAGTAGCTTATCCGCCTCATCAACTACCAGCCATCGAACGTAATCCAGGTTGAAGCCCCTTGTTTGCTCCATATGCTCAACCAGTCGTCCAGGAGTGCATATCAGAACATCTATTTTGGAAATGTAATCAACCACATATCCGTTCATGTGGCTTAATCGAGGATCTGTGGCCTCCATATCAAGATCTTGGAGACTTTCTGATGCTGAAAGGCCCCACTTCAGCTGTTTTCGACGTTGAGTCTCTTCTTTCAGCTTCTTGTATGTATCAGGGTCATATCGAAGCTCCTGATCCATAAAGGCTTTCTGCTCGGCCTCGAGTGACTGACTACCGATGGAGATGCCCACTCGCACTCTTTTTCGATCACCACCATCGAATGCTCTAGCGCATAGCTCAAAGGTCTCTTGGGCTTGCTTAACCAGTTCACGTGTTGGTAGCACTACTAGGGCACGCAGCCTCGTGAGACATCCTTGGCTGATATCTCGGACAACGGGCAGGGCATAAGCTAGTGTCTTACCAGAACCGGTCGCGGCAGATATAAGCACATCTCCGCGTTGCTTACTTGTTGGCAGTAGGAGAGGAATCGCAGCAGTCTGCACAGCGAAGGCATCCCGGAATCCCTTCTCCTCTAATACTCGACAAGCCTTGGGTATGATGCCCAGTTCAGAAAAGGGGATGTGTGTGTCTTGAGAGACACGGATAGGATCCTCGAGCCAAGAGGGAAGAATCTTGTAGTTCGGCTTTGAGGTCGTCAGAGAGCTAACCGGCTCTGGTTGAGGCAAAGGTTCGAGGCCGTGTAATTCGCCCTGGTCCTCTTCATTCTGTTCGTCCGCGGGCAGCTCACTGGCAAGCTTAAGAGACTTCTCTAGCTTGCTCATAACAGTCTTGTGGCGCTGGTTTGTCTGTTGTTGTTCATCTTCTTGTTCCTTTGCTGGCTCAGTTTCCTTTTCCTTCTTTTTCTTTTCCCTACGCTTCCGTCTTTTATCTTCCTCGTCTGCCGCTGGTTTGGTAGGTTCAGGCATATTCTCAATGGGTTCTGCCACGCCGGTCATGGATACATCCTTGTTGCGATCGTCGTCCTTGGAAACAGGTCTGTGAATAACTTCTGATTCTTGCTCTTCATTCTTTGACTTCCTCTTCCTCTTCTCTTTCTTTTCCTTCACTTCTCTTTTCGGCTTTTCCTTGTCCTTTGCAGAATCTTCGTCCATAGTCTGGCTCTCTTCGGGGGTTGCGTCTGCTTCCTTGGATGTGGCCTCGGGAGCTTCTTGCGCGGGCTTGGTACCGTCATCGTCACGTTCGTCATTGGCAACTCCAGTTCTTCGCTTGCCTCTTCTGACCTTTTTCTTTCTTTTCGGCGCATCTTCTCTATCCTTATGTGTAGTCGGCTCTTCGGTCTTGGGCTTCTTGCTATCAGGACCTGGTGTTCCTCTGTTCTCCTCTGAAGTATCTAATTTGCGCTTGGTATTTGTGGGCGGTGTGTCATCAAAGTATTGGACCTGAGGAGTCTCTATGTGCATGGACTGAGCTAGGGGCTTTGCGCTCGGAGGGACGTATCGCGAAAACCCGAAGGCATTCGTTGCAGTCGTAGGAGCAGTGTTGTTTGTAGATTTTGGTGCCGAGTGAGAAGGAGAAGCATTCGAGTTGCTTCCACCCTTAGAGGGAGGTATATATCTGGCGTACATTTTCTCGAAAATGCTGTGTAGAATTAACCGCGATGGAGGGGCCTGAAGTGCTTCAATTCCCAAATTTTTGGACAGTTCCTGGTCTTGGTGAGGTTCTGCCGTCTCACACCGCTAAAATTATAAACTGATCCGCTTTCTGGAACAGTGGAGGAAACACTTGAGCAAAACAGGTTAGTCTGATGTTTCTATCAGAACAGCCCAAGCTCGTGCAGAGGTGGCTTCAGTGTTTGGAATTTACCTTCCTTTATTAATCGATATCTTCGTTTCATTGCCAACATGATATATGGAATATGAAACATCTTGAAAATATCGTTGATATCTTTCAATTAATAGAGATTACCTACTCTTTCTTTTGTAATACTCTCAAGTCGGTACTTAGTTAGTGGCCCAGCGACTCCACTGGTATGCTCGCACCCTGCTCAGCTCGCTCAAGCATTGAACTTACTCTGTATATAGTTGCTTTTATGTACAAGTTGAGACAAGACAGATATCTCATCACAATAACCAATTCACAAAAGTCTTCAATCAGGCACAAATGTTATAAGCTCAGCAAGTGCTGACCTTGGTACACACTCAATCAAAATTCTAGTCATGCTGCATCCCCCTTTTCATCCTCAACCGCCATCATGACACGCCGCACGTACAATATCGCCATGGTCAGCGACTTCTTCTTCCCGCAACCAGGAGGCATCGAATCTCACATTTACCAACTCGCTACGAAGCTTGTCGACCGTGGCCACAAAGTCATCATCATAACTCATGCCTACGACGACCGCAAGGGCGTGCGGTACCTCACAAACGGCGTCAAGGTCTATCACGTTCCTTTTCTCGTCATCTACCGTTCGGCGACGTTTCCAACCGTCTTTTCATTCTTCCCCATCTTCAGAAATATTTGCATCCGTGAGCGCATCGAGATTGTGCATGGCCATGGCAGCCTCAGCAGTCTATGCCATGAAGCTATCTTGCATGCTCGTACCATGGGGTTACGTACTGTTTTCACAGATCACTCACTCTTTGGCTTTGCCGACGCTGGAACAATTCTCACAAACAAGCTCCTCAAGTTTACTTTGAGTGATGTTGATCACAGCATATGTGTCAGCCATACATGGTAAGATAGCAACACATTCAACGAAGTATACCAGTGTTTGTTGACGAGTCTCAGTAAGGAGAACACGGTCCTTCGCGCATCACTCGACCCAGTCATGGTTTCTGTGATACCAAACGCTGTTGTTGCAGAGAACTTTCGTCCTAAGGATGTCCCAGCGTCTCCATCTCCCCAAGCCACGAGTTTTGGCTCAGAAGGACCAGTCTATCCTCCACCTCAGCGCATCGGACCTCGCGACACCATCACAATCGTTGTTATTTCACGCTTATTCTACAATAAAGGCACTGATCTCCTCATTGCCTCTATTCCTCGCGTGTTGGAAAATCATCCAAACACCCGCTTTATCATTGCAGGCTCCGGCCCTAAAGCCATCGACCTCGAACAAATGATCGAAACAAACGTGCTCCAGGATCGTGTCGAGATGCTCGGTCCCATCCGTCACGAAGAAGTTAGAGATGTTATGGTTCGAGGTCACATCTACCTCCACCCATCTCTGACCGAGGCTTTCGGAACTGTCATCGTTGAAGCCGCCAGCTGCGGCCTTTATGTCGTGTGTACACAGGTCGGTGGCATCCCAGAAGTCCTCCCCTCGCATATGACGACGTTCGCCAAACCAGAAGAAGACGATATCGTCCTCGCCACAAGCAAAGCCATCAGTGCGATGCGTGCTGGAAAGATTCGTACCGAGAAATTCCACGAACAAGTCAAAAAGATGTACTCATGGCAAAATGTCGCTCTGCGCACGGAGCGCGTTTACGACGGCATTTCGGGCACCATCCCTGAGGACGAGTTCTACGGTGTTGATACGTCAGGCTACGGTAGCCGTATACGCAATTTTGCT